CTTCATCTGTCTGAGTCGTCATCATCATTGATATTCTCTTTTTTCAGTCCGAAGTTTTTTTTTTTAACCAAACGAAACTGGNTTTTTTTTTTTTTCATTTTATTCAACTTTTCAGAATTACCTCCACCCAGTCCATGAAGCATTCTAGATTTAATTGTGTTTGACAGAAGCCACTTTAAGGATGCCATCAAAATAATTTAGAATTTGTAGATATGTGGTTGTGTTAATGTTTTTGATGGCTATTTAAATGCATGTTTAACACAGAGAAACTTTTCTGTTTTCATTAGATTACAAACTAATATCGTTGCATGACATGGACAACTTTTGACATACTTATAACCCTTTATGTGGCTTAGAACAAGGTTCATTTCAGTATAGTTAGGCTGCAAATTGGGAGTAAATAAGTACCTTTATGTGTCCTAGATTCAAAACAAAATAGCATAGAAGTAGTTGTTATTCTTTTTTGTTTCAGTTCTTTATATTGATGTCAGTGTATTTTGAGTTTCTACAGTGTTTTTTCAGAATCTCTCTGATTTCTTATGGAAGTTTCCTCTTATCACCTCAGACTTTAGGAATATAGTTTAGACCAATTCAGAAGTTTGGGGCTTAAGATTTATGTCTTTCTGTGAAAGAAAAAAGACTAAAAATTGTACATAATTATTTCTCATATTTTGAATTATGAAAATTAAATGTGAATCTGATGTGTTAAAAAAGCAGAAGGTTTTGAGTTGTGGATGTCTTCCCTTTTATGTGAGTGTTTTGTATTTGTTTTTATTTAATTTAGATGGAAAACAGGTAAGGAACAATCTGAAATTCAATTCAGGAAGAAGATATAGGTGGTGATAATAGGTAAAAGGTAAGTGTCTTGTCTAGAATGCTGAATAATAAGTAATTAAAGTCTATTTTTACTTAATGATTGTCATTACCAGTTCCTTTCTGAAGAAAGGCTTAATGGCATAGATTTTTTTTATGTCAGACTATAGGTCATCACAAAATACCTTTATACTTTGGTTATTAGATTTAAAGGTATCATTTTTTTTTCTTTTCTGTAATTAACTGTCACTGTCATTATCATTACTATTTATTATTATTATTTTTGTTTTATGGAATCTTTTTATGGGTGTAACAGATATATAACTTAAGGTTCCATAGCCTTTGCTGAGTACTGTAACGCTATATCAGTTCATTTACCTATAATTGTTAGCTTTGAGGGCTGTCATTGCCTTTTTGGCATGACTGTCATTTTCTAACTCTTTTTAAGTGCAGTTGTTGCTACTTTTTAAGCTTGATTTATGTTGGATAAAAACATTTTAGGTTGGTAGTAGAAAAAATTTCATTGAGTGCAAATGCGAAATAAATGTTCTTATTTTAAAAAGTCAGTTGATATGGAGGATAAAGAAATGGGAGGGGAGTTATAAAGGGAAAAGTATTAGTAGGAGGGTTGTGGAAAAATATTAGACACTTCTAAGGGAGCTAGGTGTTTCTTTGAAGTGTTGGAAATGCTTACAATCAAGGGAAGTATCCCAAATACAGGAATGTAAGGTTACATGCAATCATTTTGAGTAGAAGTTTTCACTATATAAAAAGAAATGGGTTTGAATGGTACCTGGTTAGTGTTTAGTTCTCAGTAAAGTTTTGTTTAGAAAATTAGTGAATAACCCTCTCCCCCTCTCTTCAAAAAAAGAGGAAGAAGTAGTTTTCAGGACTAAAAAGAGGAGGATTATTTTGTCTTTTAAAAAATTAACCTCCTGAAATTTATATACATACATATAAGAAGATACTTCAGAAAGTTGTGGAAAAATAGAATTATAAAGTAATATGAATCTTTGCATGAACTTTTTGAAGACCCCTCATGTATGTGTATACATACATACATGGACATACACATATATATGTATGCACACACATATATATATATACATGTTAGGTGAAGAGAGAGGGCCTCAGTGCTAGCATATTGTGCTAAATGCATGTCAAATGAAGAAGGAATAGGAAGAGAATAGAGGATTCCACTGCAGCATGAGAAATTGTAATCACATATGGAGACACATGTGAGTATGGAAGGATACTGAATATTAAAATTGGTTACCAAGAGAAAAATAGTTTCTAGTGGCCTTTAAAAATAACCTCATTAGAAATTTTAAATAACTCCCTATTTGCTGCTGTATTACAAGTCCAAATTTGTCTGTCTGACTTTCAAGGTCTTTTGTAATCTGAGGCTCTACATTACCGACCCAACCTAATTTTCTTCTGTTCTTCAGTTAAGTCCCTTCTGATCCATTCAGCCCAGTTTTCTCATTGTTTCCTAAATTTGCCACGCTCATTCCTGTCTCTCTCTTGTTTTGCTCATGCAGTTGCCTCTGACTGGAATAATTTTCTTTCTTCCCTCCATTCTTAAGTCCTGTATTCTCCGTCTAGTAGTCATTAATTAATTAATAGCACACAGCTTTTCTTCTCTGAATTCTTATTGCACTTCCACTCATTATCCTTAGTTTAGCATTTATNAAATTTTTTTTAAATCTAACTTCACAAGCTTCTTTGGTTTTATACTTGTATGTCAGCCTCTTTGGTTATAAAGAACTGTTATTGTACCATGTTAGTGATCCATCGTTTGGGTTCATTTTGCTGCCTTGAATATTTGGAGTCTGTAACTACTTAATATTTACCCAGCTTTTTTTTACCTTCCTGATGACATTAGATTTGAATGGAATTGGCAGAAAATACAAATATTTCTTTTTTTTTTCATGAATTATGATTGAATTTGACTTGTTTACTGATAAGCGAAGTTAAGTTGTGAAATCTTAAGATATGCTAATTTATTTAAAATTAAATGAATACATCTTAAGATTAAATGAAAAAATACTTTGCCTACCAATTGAAATATCTTTTTATGGCTGAAATTAGTGTAAAATACTTTTGCATATTCATTACTTCCATTCAATTGTGTTTATTTCTCTTCAGAGAAAGTAATAATTCTTTAGTAATCCAAAAGTTAATATCCTGAATTATATTTTACAGGAATTTGAGAATGCTTTTTTATACTCTCCTGTGATATTTACTGAAATTATTTGTATTAGCATTTTACTGTGTGACTTGGGCTTGATCTTGCTTAGTATAGAATTGGATTGAGATTGGTATGTGTTATGAGTCCTGGTCCATAAGATCATTTGTATTTTAGCCAAAAATATGGAGAGCGAGTAAAATTAAAATATAGCTCAATTCAACACATATATATTGATCATTTGTAATTTGTCAGATACTAGGTCCTGGGGATGAGACA